CACTGAACTCCAGCCTGGGGGATAGAGCAAGACTGTGTCTCTGAAAAAGAAATAAATAAAAATAAATAAAAATTGTCAATAGATTACCAAATAACTCACCAAAAAGATTGAGCTGAGCTCATTAATTCCTTGCTGTAGTGTGGGTTCTGTGGTGATTTTATTGTTATAATGTAACACCAGGCCACATTGTCAGTAACTTCTCAAAATGTTGGATGAATGGACACCTGGTAGGGTAAAAAGTCTGCCTGGTGCAGTGGCTCATACCTGTAATCCCAGCACTTTGGGAGGCCAAGGCAGGCAGATCTGTTGAATTTAGGCGTTTGAGACCAGCCTGGGCAGCATAGGGAGACACTATCTCTACAAAAAGAATGAGCAGGGTGTGGTGGCTGGTGTCTGTAGTCCCCACTAAGGAGGCTGAGGTGGGAGGATCCCTTGAGCCCAGGAGGTGGAGGTTGCAGTGAGCCAAGATCACACCACTGCACTCCAGCCTTTGCTGCAGAGTGAGACCCTGTCTGAAAAAATAAAGTCTGTTTACTCAAAGTATTGCAGATTGGATATTATAAATCTTTTTAAAATTTGCCAATTAGTATATGAGTATATGAAAGAACTCTGTTTTAATTTGCATTTCTTTTCGTGTGTTTTAAGTAGAGTAACATTTTAAATTTCTTTTGAAGGCTGGGCGCAGTGGCTCATGCCTATAATCCCAGCACTTTGGGAGGCTGAGGTGGGAGTTTGAGACCAGCCTGGCCAACATGGCGAAACCCAATCTCTACTAAAAATACCAAAATTAGCCAGGCATGGTGGTGCACACCTGTAGTCCCAGCTACTTGGAAGGCTGAGGCAGGAGAATTGCTTGAGCCTGGGAGGCAGAGGTTGCAGTGAGCTGAGATTGTGACACTGCAGTCCAGCCTGGGCGACAGCTAGATGCTGTCTCAAAAAAATAAATAAATAAAAATAAATAAATTTATTTTGAGTCATTATTACATGTCAGGCTCTATCCAAAGCATTTAATGTATATTATCTATGTTGTCTAATTTAATCCTCAGTGGCTCTCATATGGTAGATATTATTCTCATTCTACAGATGAGAAAACTGGAACTTGTTTCACAACTTTGCCCAAAACTGTAGCTGTAAGTGTGAGGGGCCTGCCTCTAGACACCATGACGATGCAACACTAAGCTATACTGGACGGGGGTCATGTATTTTATTGTCTGTGAATTTGGGGAAGAAGAGAGTTAAATGGAAGAAAGAAAAAAAACTTACAAATACTTTTAGGATAGTAGTTTTTTGGATACAGTTGATATTGTTTGAAATGAATGATTAAAGCTGTACTTACCCTTAAAATTCACTGCTTGGGATGGGCTGGTAATAGTTTTGAGGTTACTCTCATTAGGCTTCAGTGTATAGTACACTACACTCCATTTTCTTGGGAAATGAACAGCAACATCTACTCTGTTAAAATCATTATACATTGTGTCTGCTTTCAGATTTCTTCCTTTTAGTAATTAGTGTTGTGTATGTGTTAGAATTTTTTTCTGTCTTTACTGAAACACACCCTTTGGAATTCCTTTAGCGAATACACTCTTTTGGGTGGATAACCTAATAAGCTTTCCTCTTCGAGTTTTCAGTTTTTTAACTCAGCACTGCCTTGGAAGTAGGGATTTAATTTTCTGTCAAGCTCTGCATCTCACAAAGCAATAGTTACTCAAAACACGATTTTCAAGAAGGTTATTCTTTTTAAGCTTTCAGCAGATGAGTTGAGTAGCAGTAGGAAAGCAGGTATGGAGAACTGTCTTGATTTTTTGGCACTGCTATTGAAAAACATTGCAGCTGTCTTAAATCCTGAATGACACAGAAGCTTATGGCTGGTCTTACTACATAGCACCTTGATAGTGACAGGGCTTTTCGTTTCTATCTGATTTCTGTTTTTCAAAAATAAAACTCCTTATTTTTTTCCTATCATTTTAAGTATTCTTCAGCTTCCTATCACTAATACGTAGTCTCAGCAATAGAGACCAGTTAAAATAACCAGGCTGAGGAAAATGTTGATAGCATGTAGGAGAGATTTGGGAGCATTTGTTAAAAGTAAACATAGGGCTGGGCATGGTGCCTCACTCTCCCTTGTAACCCCAGCACTTTGGGAGGCCGAGGCAGGCAGATTGCTTGAGGCCAGGAGTTTGAGACCAGCCTGGGTCTTAAAAGGTAGATATTATTCTCGTTTTACATATGAGAAAACCGGAGCTTGTTTCAAAAGTTTGCCCAAAATTGTAGCTGTTAGTGTGAGGGGCCTGCCTGTAGAGACCATGCAAATTCAACACTAAGCTATACTGGACTGGTCTCACATAGTGAGACCCTGTCTCTACAAAAAGTAGAAAAAGTAGCCGGGCATAGTGGCCCACACCTGTAGGTCCAGCTACTTGGGACGCGGAGGCGTGAGGATTGCTTGAGCCAAGGAGTAAGCCGTGACATGCCACTGCACTTGTGCCTGGACAACAGAGCAAGACCCTGTCTCAAAAAAAAAAGAAAAGAAAAAGTAAAAGTAGATACACAGGGAACTAGCCAAGTAAAAAATAGAACACTAAGCAGTTACTAATGCTGGGGAAAATTGAAGGATTGTACAAAAAAGTATCATTGGGTCAGGCACAGCCACTGATGCCTGTAATCCCAGCACCTGGGGAGGCCAAGGTGGGCGGATCACTTGAGGCGCCAGGAGTTCAAGACCAGCCTAGCCAACATGGCGAAACCCCGTCTCTACTAAAAATATCAAAAGTAGCCAGGCTTGCTGGCATGTGCCTGTAGTCCCAGCTACAGGCCAAGGTAGGAGGATCGCTTGAACCTGGGAGGTGAAGGTTGCAATGAGCCGAGATTATGCCACTGCACTCCAGCCTGGGCAATCTTAGACTCTATCTCAAAAAAAAAAAAAGTATGATTGGTTTTAGTGCATTATTTAAATTATCAGTGAGTAGTATATCATGATATACTACTGATTAAACCAGAATATGTGATATCATTGGTATAGGGCAGGGGGAAACTAAATCTTCACCTTGCAGACAATAGATAATGGCTGGAATAAACTAAGAAAGCAGTAAAAGCACATTCTTTAGAAATACTGTATCCATTTTGTGCATTGACCACAAGATTAAAAAACAGAAAAATACTCTAAATACAAAGAGAAAGCAAAAAACAAAATTGAGAGTGATCACCTGTGGGTGTTGGTAGGGAGCTGCTCTTTTTCATAAGCCTTTTAAAACTCTGACTTTTAAAATTATGTACATGGGTTAGTTTGATCAAAATAACTACAGAGAGTATAAGTGAAGGGCATTTAAGGATACACAAAAATAAATACTCTCAGATCAACCTCTGCATTTTTAAATATTTGCTGGGATTCTTTCTTTACTTCCCCTGTTACAGCCAGCGGCGCCACATGGAATATCTTAGGTATGGCCTGAAGGAATAAACATTGATTTGGTTTATTAGTTACCTGCAGCAGAATGTTTGGCTTTCAGAATTTGACTGAAGGACTCATTATCAAACGATTTATTTTCTTTTTGATAATACTTATCTCGGTCTAATCTTAATATTCCCCACTGGCTCACTCCTTGGTCCATTTGCAGCTATGCTTGATTAGTGCCCCAATTGTCAACTTTAGAACAGAGGAATAATAATCACTTGTGCCCCTCAAATGAGCTACTAGGTCATAATTATCCAAGAAAGGTGTCACTATAAATAATCTGTCCCAATTCTGTTGTTTTCTGCCTTTTAGCAAGTATGAAAACAGTGACCGAGCTAACCAGAACAAGGCTTTATTTTTCTTTAGTTATCCACAGATCTAGGTTGTGTCCTATATTCATGGCTGGAGACGCTTCACTACACCAGTGATTGTACTACTGCCAGTTCATCATCACCTGATACAGTATCTCAGGGTTCTCACAGAATCTTTTACCTGCAACATGCAGTTTGCATCAGTTTTATACTCTGCTTGCTCTGAGAAGCTGTGTGCAAGGTGACTGAGAGAGAGACTTCACTTTAACTTTCTTTGGGCACCATCTCCCTGCACTTTCTTTCCCAAACAAGATAGTTGGCAGCTCAGATTCTGAAAAAGGGATTCCTTTCAAGTGTAGATTAGGACTTCAGCTCTGCTCCTTAGGTTAGTTAGAAATGTGGAGCTATTTCTGGAGTGCTGAGCCTTGGTCATTTATTTCATTCCTGGTGGGGACCCCAGAGTCTTGGGGATCTGCAGGGGAAAGAGCCTTATGCAAGAGCGTCATCCCCACTATTTCCACCGTACGCGGCTCGGAGCTGTGATCTTTCTCTGGTTACCTGAACTTGCCGATCACAACATGGGAGTGCTGGGGGAAAGCCGCCAGTGCTTGTAGCAGTAAATGGATTGAAAAAGCAGTTCCTACGTTTACTTACTCCTGCTCTCCTGGGAGCAGACCATGGTTTAGTTTCGAGAAGAGTGCACCAGCTCGAGACCAAAGAGTCTTGCTTTGCTTGCTCTTGACTGTGGAGTAGGGAAGCCAGCTTGCTCTTGACTGTGGAGTAGGGAAGACCAGAAGGGAAGGTGGGGGGAAGGGAGGGAGACAGGCCTGTTTAACCGAGAAGAGACAGGTGCCATCCCCAGGGTGAGGCCTTCCTTTCAGTGGACCGTATTTGGTGCTGGAGAAGAGCCTGTGAGGAGTGAAGGAGGAAAGGCGGAGACTGAGCGGGACTCCAGCCGGTTCCTGCACGCAGTGCACACCCAGCGGGAAGGAAGAGGAAGTGTGTTCAGGAATAGCTCAGGCAGCTGTGCCATTGGCCGACAGGCCTGTCAGTCGCTTGGGGGCTGAGGCTGAAAAGAGGAAGAAGTGGGGGGGGGGGGGCCGTTGCCTGGAAGGGAGGGAGGAGGGCTGAGCCAGGCCGAGCCAGGGGGCGTGGGGGCTGGGACAGCAGGCCGATTGGCAGGGCGGGGTTGCCTTCAATCCTGGCCACTTCTCTTAATCGTCCCTCTCCTGCTTCAGGGTGGCATTGTGTGTCCCAGAGTGCCGGAGCGAGTCCCAGAAGAGAGGCGAGGCTAAGCCCAGAGCGCTGGGTTGCTTCAGCAGGGAAGACTCCCTTCCCCCTGCTTCAGGCTGCTGAGCACTGAGCAGCGCTCAGAATGGAAGCCATCGCCAAATATGACTTCAAAGCTACTGCAGACGACGAGCTGAGCTTCAAAAGGGGGGACATCCTCAAGGTAAGTGCTGATGCCGAGCACAATGCTGAGATCGCTCTCCTTGTGCTCACTCACCTTCTTTCGCCCTGATTACACACAAAGAAGCTGTGTTTTTCATTGTAGACTTTCAACATTTACCATCATATTTGATCTGGAGAGCTTGAGATAGATGCTGAGTAGAATATTAAATATGACTTAAGTGAGTTGGTGTGATGTGTGGTCTTTAACTGCCTTTGTGTGAATGCTTCAAGTATTTGTTTGTCTGTTGATACTGGTAATATTTCAAGTAAAGTCAAAATAGTGTGATTGTAGAAAGGAAGTATATGAGTAGATTGATTTGCCCTGTAGAGTTTTATTTTAAAAATAACATTTTTTAAAAAGACCTAGACTTGAAGTATTTATGTAAAAGCATTCAGTTAGTCTTATATAGCCGAAAGATTTTGCTTTCTAGAATATGATTTTGGTAGGTTAGAAATTAATTTTCCCAATTTAGAGAGGTTGTTAGAAGTGCATACCAAAACTCATTAAAGAACCTCAGTGTATTTTTATTCTTTGTGAAAAAACAAATGGAGTTCAAAATAATAAGGTGCAACCTGCTATTGTACAAGTCAGATTTCCACTTTCTTAAAAGAAACTTGAGGAGCAATTACCCCATATTAAACTCTAATTGCACGAAAACAAACCTGCTGACAGTTTAAAAATCAGCTTCTATACCATGTGCAGCTTATTTTGAGCCCCACTATTTATGTGAGGATTCGCTCTCCCCCAGCACATGTTAATTATGTTGTTTACCCAATTGACGGGAGCAGTTTGCCCTTTTGGATGTGTAATTTATTTTAACGAGGATGAGTGTTATCAAAGAGTATGTTAATTTTAAAGGAGGAAAGTCTGAAGCTTAATGTTTGAGTGTTTCCTGTGTCTCAAGTTTTGACATTTTTCCTTCAGAGCCTTAGACTGATTGTTGGAATTTGCTACCTCATTTGTTTACTACTCCTGAATGAAATTCTTAGAGTTTTGTAAAGAGAAAGCAAGTAGAGATGTAGAAATACAGTTCTTTATAAAAGGACGTGCAGTTTTTTTACTTTTAAGTTATGTGGACTTATTGATAGTCTCTATTTTGCCCTCATTGCCCAAAGTGTAGAGTTCTACTCTGAAGTTAACTGCCCAGGAATTTCTTAATGTTAGAAACATAGGTTGAGCCTCATAGAAGGTGATGCTGCAGAGCCGATTAAAGAGAAGAAAGCTCTGTGTCTGTGTGTTCATTTCAAAGCTGTGTTTGTGGCTTTTCGGGGGTATTCTCAAAGTCAGCACTCAATTGTCAGGAAGCAGAAGGAACCAGCTCTAGGTTTCTATTTTCTTGGACTAGAGAAAATATGCCCAGGTAGAGATCAGGGCAAAGTTAACTTAGACTACAAAATTGCTCAGTTTTCATTGGTGTATGGGAGAGGAAATTTGATGTTTCTGTGGGTGATTACTGTTTTCCGCAGATAACCTACTTGTGATGGTATAAGACAGGCTACTCAAATGCCGCCATTTATAACCTGTACAAAAACCCTTTTGGGCCAGTATTTTTTGTTTGTGATATAAGCTTAGATTTCATAAGTTTATCTTAAAAACTTGAACCTAGAAGGCTGGTAGTTCATATTTTTCTCCAAATCTGTCCCATTGCACATTAAGCACTGAAGCAACAAATTAAAACAAAACTAGGGACATGCGGTCTCTTTTTAAGAATTTTTTTTTTTTTTTTTTTTTGAGACGGACTCTCGCTCTGTCACCCAGGCTGGAGTGTGGTGGTAAGATCTGAGCTCACTGCAGGCTTCACCTCCCAGGTTCACACCATTCTCCTGCCTCAGCCTCCCGAGTAGCTGGGACTACAGCTAATTTTTTGTATTTTTAGTGGAGACGGGGTTTCTCTGTGTTAGCCAGGATGGTCTCAATCTCCTGACCTCGTGATCTGCCCTCCTCAGCCTCCCAGAATGCTGGGATTACAGGCGTGAGCCACCGCACCCAGCCTCTTTTTAAGAATTTTTAAACAAGAACTTTCCCTGATTTCTGTCTTTGAAGTTTGTCCTAGACCTAGACCATGAACAGTTTATAAATTATTTAACTTAAATTAGTAAACTCAGAAACAAGTGTAAAAACCTTCTCTCCCATCTTTTTATTAGGGAAGAAGATACTGTTTAACGATCCCTCAGAAATTTTTATTATGGAGGAGAAAGTAAATCAGAATATTCACGTTCACTTTCAGATTTTCTTTGAGGAGACAGAAAAATACATATATGTGGTTCTTTTCAATTTGGTAGATAACTGAGATATGAAGTCATAATGCCATTATTGCTTTTGAACTGTGGCCATTAGCTGTTTGTTGGTAATGTTGTGGCTTTACTCCAAAAGATAAAAAAAAGAGTGACGATACAGTAGTTGCCCTTTGTCTCATAACTGTGTGAAATGGCTGGGTGAAGAGGAGGAACATGCTTTCTTAAAAGCTATTAGTTAAAAAAACAGAGTTTTTCTCATTTGATTCTTCCTTTGGATAGCTTTGATTTGGTAAGTCTTGAGGGTATTAATTGTAAGCCAAAACATGTTTTAAAAGTTGCTGGAATAGCATTGACCAATTTAACTTTCATTGAAATAGGCATATATATGCATGCCTCTCTTTTTTTTTTTTTTTTTTTTTTT